ATTGTTTTCGTCGCGGAACAGCTCAGCAAAGAGCGGCCGATTTCTAACAACTTATTTTTCTGTGAAAACTTCGTAGAACTTCGGAGACATCATTAATATAAATAATTTTAATCGCCGTTGAATAAGAAATGTTTCTTTCACAAGAAATGTATAAAATTACAGTACTGTATTAGACTTACGGTACCTAATTTACATACTGACAGACGATAGTTAGCGTAAAAATCTCCGTAGCGTGGCGCCACGCTAGACGGCGGAAATTATTAATTATAATAAAGTTACAATAAATTAAGTTAATATATAATTATATATACAGCACCTAATTTATATATAATTAATATATAATTATATGTACAGTACCTAATTTATATATAATTTATATATAATACTGTACAGATGATAGCAAACTCAATTTAGCCGCTCCGTAGCGTGGCGCAGGGCGGAGGAAAGTAGTTCGGCTGCTCATCCACTATTGGTCCAGATTCTATCAATCTTGTCGCAAAACGAGTCGGCGACGACGTTTTAGGAGCTCCTTTAAACGAATGTTGCTGCAATTTTTTCGCTACGTTATAGGAATTTCCGTTATAGGAACCCATGTTATAGGGGGGTCGACTGTATAGCTTTTCTAGTGATAGATTTTCTACTAAACTAGAAAAAAACAAGGTAAAACAGTAGAAATAATAAAAAGTATTTAGAGATGTTATCAGCCATGTTTGGAGATTCTTTTTCCAATATTTTAATGATACAAGTGTGTTTCAATAACTGATTTCATACATTACAAATATTAAAATATTCCATAAATTTAAACAACTGGTATCAACTAATTCAAAAAATAACGGATAAATATATGAGTTCAGAATAAGAAAGAAATGAAAACAATTATTTGAATGGTCAAGAAGCTTCAAGAAATTAATTTATTATAAAGAAATATATTAGATGTTTTTGCTCATGGACAGTCAATTTCTGTTCATGATCAATGTATCTTTATAACATATATATCTAAATCAATTTTACCTGTATAACTATAATTCTAAAAATTTTTTCTTTAAAAAAAAAGAAAAAATTTTAGAACTATAGTTATATATCTAAATCAATTTTATAAGTAGATAACTAATCCCATTGCCTAATTTTATTTTGTATTTTAAACATATACAGGATAGTCTATTTATAATATTATCAGGAAATATCTCAAAAATATGCACCTTACTCAAATTTGATCAAACATATTTTTGTGTTATCATCAAGAGGGTTACAAGATGACACTACTGTTGGTAAAAATAAGGTAAACTTCAGTTTCTTAAATGGGAATCCAAACTTTTTATTTCTTATTTTAATTCTATATAAAAACTAATGAACTTTTATTTGAAACATTCTTTTCAAAAGTAGGATGCAGGTTTTTTGAGATATTTTCCAAGAACATTATAAACAGACCATCCTGTATATTTTATTTATAGCACTCTTTTTTCTACATGCTTTTTTAATCAGCACAATTTTAAAAAAGCACATACCAGGTTGTTCAANATATATGTAGATAAAATCTAAAGAGTAAAATAAAATAAGACTGTTCTTACTTGAGCATCAATATCAGCATTATTTTCCAGTAAATATTCAACAATAGAAGTATGACCTCGATCACATGCCCAATGCAGCAATGTCATTTGCTACAGAGAAAAATTCATACATGTTAACTTATTAAATGCACACAAAACATGAAATTTAAAGTAATATGATTAATACCATTTCATCTTGTTCATTTAATAAATAACTCTTCGCATGTATATAGTTCATTAATTTGCGTATGTTGTTCTCTTTTACCCAATCAAAAGCAGTTTTATCATCATCATTAATATATTCATCCTGTTTACATTATTAAAAACATATAAACAAATGATTCTATTAACAATTATTTGGAAAAACTATTTAAATAAATAAAACTTTATTATAAAATATTAACAATAATAGAGTATGTAGAATTAGTGCTAATTTTGTACATACATTTTCAAGAAATAATATTTATTAATATTAAACACACTCAAGAAAACCTTTTAAATATGCAGCTTTATTTATTACATTCTAACATTTTCGGTCATATTCAATGACCTTTTTCAAGAATAAACGGAAACAAGAAAAAAAAATCGAACTCCTAACTCTAAAATTTGACTTAACGATACAAGCGTTTTGGAACATTTTTAAAAGGATAGGCCGCGTTTCTTTATGCAGCGCTCGAGAAGCGCTTTACAGCGAACCCTCTGAAACCCATTTCTAAATGCAGCGCTGCAATATAGCGAACCATTTCTAAACGTTTGCTGCAAGAGGTCGCTGCAGCGAAGGTAAAGCAGCTTTTACGTCCGCTACACGCATAAAGCAAAATGGACGCTTGTGTGTATAATACGATATTATGCTGTAAAAATAAAAAAGTGACTGTTGATAAAAATATTATGGAAAGATTAAGAAGGATTAAATTTTATGAAATGACTCTGAAAGTTATCTAAAGAATAAGAAAATACTATATTTTAAATATAATTATATATCTTTTATCTCTTTACTTTGTTCACATTTATGGAAAGATAAATGCTCGATTCTTTATATCTCTTTATTTAAATATTGTAGTTCTTTAACTAAAGCACTATTTTCGGCTGTAACTGGAATTAAAGGATAGATTATGACGTCCGTGTTTCGCTCGAGCGGAAAGCGTTTCTAAACTATGATGCAGCGATGTGTAGCGATAGCTGCTCGTGACGTCATTTACGCTGCACTCTCGCTGCATAAAGAAACGCAGCCATATTCTATGGGAATAAAGAGCGCCATCTCTACATAAAGGCTGTCATTATGTAACCACAGTAGCTATTAGAACGTTAAAAAGTATGATGTTCAAGATATAAAATAACATAAAAATAAAAATACATACATACATAAAATACCAAACATAAACAATGTGACACGCAAATACATTAGTATAAGAGTCCTTAAGTAAGTTGCTGCTTTGCCATCGTTCTTGCCGCTTATAATATACTTGCTCCATACTTGCTATACTTGCTACTCGGAAGTTGATAGCTAATCCTTTTTGGCTGGTTTTGCAGATATGCCAGGCTTCAGCATACCGGAGGTGCTTTTTGTCGCAAAATATTTGTATCAATCTAGCTCGGTCCCATTCAGCTTTGATATCGGCAGCCTGGTGAGCAAGTATATTATAAGCGACAAGAATGATGGCAAAGCAGCAACTTACTTAAGGACTCTTATACTAATGTATTTGCGTGTCACATTGTTTATGTTTGGTATTTTATGTATGTATGTATTTTTATTTTTATGTTATTTTATATCTTGAACGTCATACTTTTTAATGTTCTAATAGCTACTGTGGTTACATAATGACAGCCTTTATGTAGAGATGGCGCTCTTTATTCCCTTAGAATATCCTTTTAAAAAATGTTCCAAAATGCTTGTATCATTAATTCAAATTTTAGAGTTAGGAGTTCGATTTTTTCTTGTTTCCCTTTATTCTTGAAAAAGGTCATTGAATATGACCAAAAACGTTAGAATGTAATAAATACGGCTGCATATTTAAAAGGTTTTCTTGAGTGTGTTTAATTATTTATTAATATTTTTTATAAAGGAAAAAATGCAGAGAAACTAAAAATATTAAATGAAAACTAAAGTTATATTTGGTGTATTCTAAAACTGAATGTGCATATTAATTTTTTAATCTTTATTTATTTATTTTATACAGTACTAGAAATTTCTCCATCAATCATGGTGGACGTTTATTCTATAGCTAATATTTCTGCAAAATAAGTAGCCCGTACTTTCTGTCAGAACATAAAACAAATATAACCGAAACTTCATTGGACAAAAACTGCAGGAGTTATACACACACAGATGACAGTTTTTATATTAGTAATTGTGCACTTACAAAATTTAATATTTAAGTGTTTTATTTTTAACATACAAAATAAAATCTAAAATAAGTTTACAATCAGGTAAATTTGAGTGAAAAATTAAAATAAAATTTTTCACTCAAATTTTATTTTCTGCATTTTAAAAATAATTTTTTAATCTTAAAAGGACATAAATATTCAAATAATCTTACTGTATTTGGTAATGTACTAAAAACTGGACCAAAGATTTCTTTATTTATATTGTCATTCTGAAAATAAATATAGTATTTATAAAAATACAAAATATTATTATTTTTATAAGTCTCTAAATATTAATTTTTTAAATAAAAACTAAATTAAAATTACACAAAATTCACTGAAAAAGTTGGTAGATGAAAATTACTGTACTAACTTTATTAATTAGTATATCAAAACAGCAGTTTTACAGTAGCTTTATAATATGATGCATTATAGCCAGTTGGATGATTTTCTTCTGAAGATAATGTGAAACAGACTAAGTCACTTCATTTATCATTATCAGTATAAAGTTTCTAAACAAAATTTTCATACGAAAGTTTTATAATTATTTAAAGAATTTTATATATGTATATATATTTATATAAGCTACTTTTTTTGCATTCTCTATTCAGTGATATCGTTACTTCTAGAATTATAACATTTAATTGATATATCAAGTTTAAAATGGAGGCAGCAAATCACTTAAAGATGACTGATGAGATCCAATTTAGTTGCAACTAATGAATTTATTGATAATGGAAAGTTTCAGATGAGTAAAAATTTTTACAACAAGAAAAAACAGAGTAACAATGTGTCTCTCAATGAAACTTAATATTTTCTATAAATGATTATTTAAATTTACACAAAGTTACTTTTTGATAAATCTCTAAATATTGGATATTTAAAAAATATCTATATGAGTGAATTTGCATCAATTTATGTTTCAAATATATGAGATTCTCAGCTAGCATAGTTTTTGTATCTATTTAAACCTGAAGCAGGCCCCTGAAATAAGCCAAAAACATTCACCATTGTTATTAGAATTAAATATTATCATGCTGGGAAAAGTGTGTCAGATTTTCTTCTTGTTAATATTCAATGAAATATTAAATAAATAACACAAATAAGTTTCAGTACATTCAAAAATATTTTGAAATGTTCAATTATAGACATTTCATCTGTAAGTTTTAATAGAAGACATAATCTAAAGTGACTCTGAATCTCTTATGATTCAAATGACATTATCTATATAATGTGTGAAAAATTAAAATTAAATTAATGTTTCAAATATTTTTTATAAAAGAAGCTATTTTTAAAACTATTATATATATACAAATTAGAATAAGTCTCAAACATATAATTTATGTTAATGCTAATCAAATTTAGAATAAAATAAAACTTATGATTAACTTTTGAAGTTACTATAGAAAAATAAATATTTTGTCTTTTGTTTCACCAAAGTTATAAGTTATCATTTCAACATAAAAAGTTCTATTGCTAAATAAGAAACAATGAATGAATAAAAACTTTTCCAAATTAATTTTTTACACTTTAGTTGCTTTTAGAATAAATAAGTCTGAGAAATGGATGTGAAAAGTTATTAGTACTATATTATAAAGTTATTAGTGTTGTATTAATTATTAATAATCACCAGCGGCATGCAGTGACTATTTTCAAAAGGGATCAGATATGAGAGAACCTATTTTTCATACTTTACAATTATTATTTAAACACCCAGAAAAATTCATTTTATTTGCACATTACTGGCACATTAATTTCTTATAAATAACAAAGGGATACTTTCCCTCGTTATTTATAACAGAAGATCAAAAAATTGGTTAAAAAATGACCACCCCAAGATTTTTACATCTTTGGATTCAGGGGACCTTGAAACATTGAGAAATGCAAAATATTCAGGTATTTTTTCTGTATATATAGATGTTAGTATGTATGGGGTGCACAATTTTGTTGAGGCTTAATAACTCCTGTGCTTTTTGTTGAAAATTTGCAGGGAAGTTTGTGTATTGGGGATCAATGCTATTAAATTTTGATGGTTAAAGTTCAACACGGTGGGGAGATAGAGGGGGAGTGGTGTGTCATATCTCAAGTAAGTCGGACTTAATGATGGTTTTCTTTGTTATTAGCATTTACAATTTTTTTATAAAACCCATCTCTAACCTCAAAATTATGCATTTGATATTTTATAATAATTAAAAATATAAAAAATTTTTAAATAAAATGGCATCACACAGTTTTAGATGTTGCCAGGAAAGTTAAACAACTCGTTGCTGGATTGATTTTTTTTCTTGGAAACTTAAGGCTCCAAACAATGTTTCAAACAGACGATCCAGAATACAGCACAAAAATTGTTGATTGTCTTCACTCTGCTGTTACAATTCACCTCACTGCCATATTGTGCCACAAGAGCTAAAATACAATTATTTATATGGAAATATCATAGATTGTAGATAAACTTACTATAGACACCCACGATTGTTGTAAATAATCAGGCTATAATTTGAAAATATTAATTACGAATTACAAATAAATTTGGCACTAGAAGGAGGCATTAGGCACCATCTCATATTAAATTTAATAATTATAATATTTAACTAATTAATTTAGAATAAACTGAAAGAAAAGAATCAGCCCAAAGTGGGATTATAACCCAATTATTTATGGCAATAGTGAGTGTCTATTTTCTAAGTATTGGGTTTCGGTAGATGTTTATATCTGTAAACTTACTATGTAGAAAAAATTAAAATAAGTTAAGTAAAAATGTCTAAATTGGTCCAACCTAATTTTTGCATCTGACAATAATATAATTTTTAGGAAAATCAGTGAAATAAAAAATTTGGCGACATTTTTACGACTTCAGATATCAGAAAACTTTTTGTGTAAGTACTGTACCTGCAATGAAGTTTCTAAGAAAAGTGATTATGAGCTTGCTGCAGTAATCATGTTTGTGTATTGGTAAATAAATATGTTAGTTGTCTTTATTTTTTGTGTATTCAGTACACTATATTAAACAAAATGGTTATGCAGCCCATGCTCATCATTCTCTCAGTTATGTGGCCCACCGAGAAAAAAGTTTGGTGACCCATGGACTAAACTAAGAAAATTCAAACAAATAACTTCCTGAAAGTCACAGCAATTGTTTTAATGGTCTTTTGGTTGATTTTCTTCCTCAAGTAGAAACCATCAATGCCAAAAGATATTGTGAAATCTTATGTTATGATATGCTATCTAAAACTATTGGTGGGACTTGTAATAAAAGATGTATGCCTGATTCAAAACAACACATGTCCTCATATTGCTGGAAAAAACAAATATTTAGAAGTTGTAGAAGTTTAGATAGGAAATCCTACACAATTTTCCTTACAGATGAAAGTTTTGACAGCACCACACCTGGTGCTGTCAAACTTTCATCTGTTCACTGTATTGAACAAGTTTTTGGGTAGAAAACAGTTGCAGACAGATTATCTCTTGATCAGAAAAATACTTGAGTGTCAATGAGGATTATGTGGAGAAGTAATATACTTACAGCTGTATACTTGATGTAAAAAATGAAAGTTTTGAAGTACTGTATTCTAATTATTAATTTTTAACAAAATGGTTCTTACTTTAAAACTGATCATCATTAAAATGTTATAATGTTAAGTATGAATAAAATATTATAATACTATATATTGAGTAATTTATACACTCACTAAAACATCTGTTAAAAATACACAAATAAATTTATGACAAGAACTAAACTTTATTTTAATTAACCATCAAAAATAATACAATGTAACTAATGAAATGTTCTTATTATTAATGTTGATTCATCAACTCAATCTTCTAGCATGCTCTATTTGCAAATAAAAAAGAATTTTAAATTTTTCCTTTAAGAAAGAAATTTCTGGTCTGTTCCTTATATGATTTGTTCTCTTCAGCAAAATTTATGCTTATCACTAGACAGCAGATTTTAGGCAAATGCCTATTTTTTCCTTGGCATATACATGGCTAAGATTTTGTATGAACTCTTTTCATGAACATTTAGACTGAAACAATGGTATTTTATAATGCCTAAAAATGCTAATTTTGACGTTGCTGCCTATTTTTGCCTAAAAAACAAAGTTTAGTCTATTTTCATATTTTTAAAAAGTTTTCATTAATTTTTCATTTCATATTTCTGCAGAGGTTTACTTTAATTCCTAAATTAAACTGCTTAAGTTTCATTTTTTTCTGAAAATGCAATCAGACAAATTCATTTTTTTATTATTATTGATTACTTATATTTAAGTCCTGGTGGATGCATATCCTGAGAAGAAAAAATTAGAATTCAATAACAATGGAAATAAATTACACCCCTGATGCAATTTTATAGTAATAAAATTAAAACTATATGAAATATTTTAAAATAAATGCTTTTATTTAATAAATATGGGGTTAGATATGCTTTATTTCTCATTTTTTAGACAGCGGATTTTAGGCAAATGCCTATTTTTCCCTTAGCATATACACGGCTAAGATTTTCTACTAACTACTACAGTGAACATTTCTTCGATATCAAAAAACTTCTGGCCACTTTAGCGGACAATACAGTTTGTGTAACTAAAGCCAAGAAAATTTTGAATGACATGTTCAGAACAAGCTGGTGTACATCGAGTGTTATTTCACATTCATTGCAGATGCTATTACCGCTCTCAAAGGTAGTGGGAAACCTATATATGAACAAATCGATCTCCTCAACAGAGCAAACCAGAAACTTTGCGATGCACCAGGCACTGCTGCAAAACAAGTGAAGAAAGAGTCAAAAGCGGTGCTTCAAAGGAGATTCGGATTAAAGTGCTTGTTTGTTGTGGCTGATATTTTGGCAGGAAAGAAGAGCAGAACTGAAAGTGAATTCCCAGTTCATCTTCTTCCAAGGTTGAAATACTGTCCGTTATCTTCAGTAGATGTGGAACACTCTTTCTCTGCGTATAAATTAATTCTCAGTGACAAACATTGCAACTTTTATATTGAAAATTTGGAAAAAGTGCTTGTAATATATTATGAAGCAAACTATGGGAAACAGAGCGAATAAAAAATGTAAAGGTAACTGTCTACTTTTGCGTTTGCATCATTCTGAATACATGCATTTTTGTTTGGAATACATATGTTAAACAAAAAATTCATCATCCTGATAAGTAGGTTAATTGTGCAAATTTTGATCGCCTATTTTTTGTTTATAAAGCCTAAATGACGCAATTTAAGATCTTATTTTAAGTGCCTGAAACGCCATTTTTAAGGGCCTAGATGTCCGATGTCTACTTATCACTAAAGCAGAGGTCGCCAAAGTAGTGGTCCGCGAGAAAATTTCACTGGTCCCCAGAAAAATGTGGAATATACTTACTCATCACGTTAAGTTATGTTTTAAGATGCATTGAAACATAATTCAATTCATAACAATACGTGAAAAGTTATAAAAACTCATAGAATATAATCATTGTCTTTACATCGATACATCACGTATACAACAGTGTTTAGTTTCCACCAATTCATGTGCGAAGAAGTATTTAGTTTTGACACTTGGGGCATCACCGTCACCATAAAAGCTTCTCTAGTCGGACCTCCACTGCAATCCAGACGCAAACGCAAATCAGTTCATTTTATTAACTAGGTACATTTTATGTGTTCTTAGATCACAATTTTTTTTATAAATACATTTAACACTTAAAAAATCCTATTAGTGGTCCGTGGGATTTAAATTATGAATTTACTGGTCCGTAAGGTCAAAAAGTTTGGTGACCACTGCACTAAAGGATCTATCAGAAGAATGAGTAACAATTAAACAGCATAAGAAATTTCTTGTTTGTTAATTGGGATCCATTAAACTGGAGCCTACTGTATGTTTATTAAATTTATTTTACACATCAAAATTAAATAGCATAACTAATACTAATTTAATAGTAAAGCCATCAATTATACAGTTTTATATATCCTTTCATTCCTAAAGTACTGTACATTTCAAAAACATCAATATATGAAAATTTCATATTTATGAAAGATCACTCTAGGCCAGGGGTCGGCAACCTTTTGAGTCGGAAGAGCCAAAATTACAATTTACAAAATTTCAAAGTTTTTAAAGAGCCATAAAATTTTTTCTTGCCAACAATAAATAGTACTCGCATAAATAAAGTTTTTTGATAAAAAAAACTATCTATTTATTCATAAGAAAAAATATCTATTTATTCATATATATAAGTAGTGTTTTTCACAACAAATTAGATAATAGAAACATCCGACGACGGTGTCATTCGAGAGCTTCCGACGGCTGACGACAGTGATGACGCGTGTCACGGGGGAGGGGTGCGGTGAAAAGCGAGTACAAGTGGCTGAGAGATAGAATCAGTGCCTAATCCTCGTTAATCGATTCAGAACGATTTTTAAATGTTTTTAATATTTGCGTATGGAACTAAAGAGCCGCAGCTTCACATCCAAAGAGCCGCATGTGGCTCGCGAGCCGCAGGTTGCCGACCCCTGCTATAGGCCTATTATAGATTCTTAATGCAAACAGTAAACAGATCACACTTACAGTCTATTTAATCACTTTCAATTATCTGAAATTTTATTGACATACCTCATTCCAGTCAGGGTCACATGATTTTACAGCAGCAACATACTCAGACATGGCAGTTTCTTTTGACATACTTCCCAAATTATTCCATGCAGCCCTTAATATAAATTTAACTTGCATAAAAATTATGGATAAAAACATGAATTAATGTAAAAATGACATACCATTTTTGTTTATTTTGAAAATCAAATAAACCAGGCTTTCGGGTATTACAAGGACCTTGTGTTGCCTAAAATTAAAGAAATTACATAAATTACAATCAAACTATAAAATGAGGAATAAGTATTATTCCCAACTAGATCAACTAAAGATGGCAATTGAAGGAAAATGTCCAGAATTAGCCAAAAATAAAAAATAAAAAAAATAGGCATTGTGTTTCATCAAGATAATGCCAGACCAGCCATTTCTTTACAAATAGCCAAAAATCATTGGAACTAGGCTGGGACGTTTTACCCCATTCTCCATACTTACATAACCTTGCCCGCTGGACCACCATTTGTTCTGAGCTCTACAGAATTTAGTTTTTGATAAAAATTTTGATAGTTTGGAAGCTGGCAAAAACCATACAGAACAGTTTTTGCAGAAAAACTAGAAGAGAGTATTACAAAGCTTGCCCCCAGATGGTAACATTTCATCAAAAAGAACGGTGATAATCTAATAAAACAGTCTTTCTCTTAAAAATCGCTATGAACTTTCCGGACAACCCAATACTTGACTTGCTAACTTGTCACAGCTATTGAACTATTTTTATAAAATGATATAAAACACTTAGACAATGATAAAATAGCAAGGTTGCAACCAAAGTTTTCATCTCTAAAATGTGAATGTCAAATGTCGAGAGCCACTATCTTGTAAGCAGCACTTGACATTCGACGTTTATATTGTAGAGATGAAAACTTTGGCACAACCACATAATGATATAAGACAATTGCAATCATTCAATGATTCAGCCTCTAACCATCATTTCTTCATCTGATAGATCGCACCATAATTCAAGATACCGAAGTGATGTTTTGGAAACATAATCAGAACTGAAGATACTCAAATATTTAACAGCAGCATCAAATCAATAATAAAAATTATATATAACACTTACTTGCTTATAGAAAGCATAACAACGCAAAAGTTGATTTGGAGTAAGATTGCTTGCTATTTTGGTTAAATGAGATGATGCTCTATGAAATTTCTTCTCTAATTCTGATACAGATTCTGATTCTTCTAACTCTAGATCATCTAAACTCCCAGAAGATTTTAATTCCGCCATTGTAATTCGTTAATATATGTGAACAACAGCTTCCGATCTGCAAATTTCGTTAATATCAGTGATAAACTGTAAATATACACATTATTATATCCATAACATTCGCCATAATATACCAGTACTTCCGACCTCAAAAAAAAATCTATTCAAATGACATTGCTCGAACGCCATCTGTGAATATCCTTTTATTTTTCTAATTACAGAAATTTTCTAAATGAGAACTTAATATCAGTGATAAACTATAAATATACACATTATTATATCCATAACATTCGCCATAATATACCAGTACTTCCGACCTCAAAAAAAAATCTATTCAAATGACATTGCTCGAACGCCATCTGTGAATATCCTTTTATTTTTCTAATTACAGAAATTTTCTAAATGAGAACTAAACGGATTNATTATATCCATAACATTCGCCATAATATACCAGTACTTCCGACCTCAAAAAAAAATCTATTCAAATGACATTGCTCGAACGCCATCTGTGAATATCCTTTTATTTTTCTAATTACAGAAATTTTCTAAATGAGAACTAAACGGATTTATAAAAGTAATGATTATTAATATAAGGCTTTAAAAATTAAATGTATAGAAATAGAGTAAAAATATCTTTGGTTAACATTTTATTATATAAAATTTCCTATTTTATTGTTACTTAATGCAAAAGAGAAAGCGATGTGTTTTAATCGATAATCTTTATTTACTAAATTATAATTATCCCTACTTTTCATCCAAGCTGTAATATTGATGCAATTTAGTATCATCGATCATAATTTTCACAAACCACTAATGAAGATCAGAGCCGGCTCAACCCATAGAGCAACACGTGCATCGCGGCGGCGAGCTTCAGCGGCAGAAAAAACTTGTTTAACATAATACAGTATCTTTTGGTATTGTATTTTTGCAATATATTTTTTTAAATGAATGCAATATTAATTTGTGTAGAGACGACCGTAGGATTTGCGATGTCCTAAGCAAAAGAACAATATCATTGATCAAGTAGACAGTAATTAAAATATGATGTATTAAATTTTTTAAGATACCATACTTTTTCTAACGTTTGCTCTAACAAAACATTCACAGCCAAATATCAAATGGTAATCTGCCAACCAATTGAATTTCGCGAAGAACGGATCAAAAAATTTAAATTCGGCACCCTGAAAAACCGCTTAAAACATATTTTGTGCTCGCCGGTACCCTTGTACTGTATTATGCAATTTTCCTATTCGATTGCCATCGTACCGCTGGTCCGATAGAAAGAAGGGACTGTTGCGGAAGGGAGTTGAAGTAAATTCTACCAAAAGTAGTAGTTGATCTCCTCCCGAAAGAGAGAATGGTCAATGACAATTAATACCGGTTAAACTTGAAAACTTATCCGTGTTGGACAGGTGTGATGGCCCCGCATATGATCGAAGTTGATAACGTTATTTGAAAGACTTCATATAAGACTTGTTTAAATAAAAATTGTAAAAAATGCGAGAATAATTGCTTTTATGTGATCCCATAAAAACAAAAAACAAAAAAGAAAATAAAAGAAAACCTGGTAAAACCAGGTTGAAAAGGTAAAGCTCAGCAAAACACATCGAAATAAAAGAAACTTTTGAAAGTTGTGGCATGAGAATAGTGGAAGCAGATTTGACAGTAACACTCAACATGTGAATAAAGTGCACATTACACAGACTAAAACTACAGGGAATTTGGAATGAAGCAATGTGGCCATGATAATAAATAGGAAAAATGACTATCGGCACAGAAAAAGACTTCGAACTATTTTGTCTTTAAAATCGTTGCACGCATATTAATTTATTTGGCTGAACGTTAGAACATCTGTAGTTAATATGAGTTAATAAGGGGAGATGAAATCGGTAAGGGGTGGGGTGTCGAGGTTTCGTGGTAGTTAAGTATTTCCTTGTAAATATCGCGTTTATAGAAAAACCAGCAGATGAGCCTGGAGTTGCCCGGGCAAAAAACAACAACAAAGATTAAGATTATTAGATTACTTCGTACTTCTTTCTAATCCATCTATTCTAGTAGCCCGGGCCCCCCAGGCCGGATGATCGAGCGGTCAAGGTGGCAGCCTACCACTCTGGGGGACCCGTGCTCGAATCCAAACGGGTCGAAAAATCCCCAGGAATTTTTCGGGGGGGTGGTCCGTTCGGATATGTCGGGCCCCATCCCTCACCACCCAATCACCCTATTGTGGGCCTGGCCGAACCCATAATGGGCTTGCATAAAGAGGCCCTCTTAGTGCCCACAGAACGGAAAGAGTTAAAAAAAAAAGTCAGTGGAATCATGCTAGACATTCCAAACATCATTGTTAATCTTCTAGGCTTACAGGAAAGAGGCGCTGAACGTCTGACGTACAGGTTTTCGCTTTGGCCCAACCTCGCTATTATACTAAAAAAACTAATTTCGTTGTTTTTTAAATTACCTTATTAAAAATGTCTTTTTCAATTGTATCGGGGTCGCGGGACACTTGGCTTATATAAAAAGGGGTCGCCACCCGAAAAAGGTTGGGAACTGTTGGCTTAGAGCCTCAGGGTGTAAAATGTCTTTGTTTACAATATACTATTTCTCTTTTCATAACAAACTCCAGGGGGTAGTGTGGCTCAAGCAATGTAGGACAGATAAAACCTTTTTCTGATAATAAGCTAATAAAAAATATTCATATACTGTACAGAACTTTTATAAAAATTCGGCATTCTTCTATCAAAAACACGATGTTTTGCAGGAAAAGCACTTTTACGGATGCCAGTATTGTTTCAAATGTGGTATCTCGCTTTAAATTCTCGCTACATTCAGTCTTTTTTTGTTTTCTAGCAAAGTCATATTACAGTTTACAGTAGTTTTGTATTTTGTTTATAACGAATGTGAAATTATAATAAAAAAATATAAATTTTCGAACAAAGCAGAAAATNTCAAACTCATCATCCATTTCTGGAGGAGGTGGGCGTGGTGGAGGGATATCATCTTCAGGAAGTGGTGGACGAGGTGGTGGCTCTACAAAAAAGAAATTTGCTTGCAATTAAATTTCAATATTTCAAAAATAATATCTTTAAGAGAGAAAAAAGATTTTTAAAGAGTTAAAATAAAATTGTTGATGAAGATTTCACATGCTGGATAATGAAAAATATTGATGTAAAAATAAATAACAGTATAAATAAATTCCAATTTACATGCTTAATTCATCAAATTTGCACAAGCTGCATGCTGCTAAACCTAGAAAACATTGCCTGTGAATAATTCTACAACTCTTGAAGGGAAATACATCATTAATCTAAACTGTACACAAATACAATTAAAATACAAATGAAATACATGCTCATATCATATTAAAAAACAAATTTTAATTGGTTAATGGTGAAAAGTAAACTGATGGTGACAAAGAATGAATTGAAAACAATTGAGAGACCAGAAACATGCTGAAAATAAAATGTCTTGCAAAAAAATGGTAATTTATTTTAACTCTTGATGTAAAACCTGCCTTTCTCTTCTGATGAGAGTGGATAAATATCCTCTTTCTGATCGCGATACATTTCTTGATATAGGAGGTCTGAAGTATTGCCTAAGTGAGAAAGATTTCATTTAAATAAAAAAATAAAGTAAATTTAAAATGCGGGAGTCGGAGTCGACACATTTTTTCCGACTTCGACTCCACAGCTCTGTCTGGGACTCCTGCGCTTTCGTTTTTCATATCTGGTCTCGAAGTTCATCTATCTTCTCCGTTCTTGAGATTAAGGAAGGACAGAGTGGGAATGTATAGATCTACAATTTTTTCGAATTGCAGACCAATATGTATGGTACCTGCCATGTACTGTACGGTACCTCGGCTTTGTTTTGGGGTCAGGAGCGGATTAATCCACTTTATATTGTTTCTTATGGGAAAATTTGTTTCGGTTCTAGAACAACTTTTAGGAACGGAATTAAGTTCGAAAACCGAGGTTTGATTGTAGTTTATATATGTTAATAAAAAAGGAAGCCTAGAAGATGATGACTGATGGTATCATTTCACCGAAGCAGAAAACTGTTAACGTGACAAAAATAATTTTTTAAAACCATCGCATTGTAAAAAAAGGGACCAGATAAAAATACTTAGAAAAAAATCAAAATATTTAAACTATAAACAAAATCGAAAAAAAAACTGAATTTAAAAATAAAATACCAGATCTACTTTAAAAAAGACTAAAATGATAACAAGAAGACAAAAATAAGGAAATACTGTACATATATGCTAGTACGGATGTATGGATGGACACACGAATGCCTGCAGGCAAATATTCTACTCCTTTGATTCGACACAAGAACCGACAAGAATTGGAAAACGGCGAATACCGAATATTCATTACTTGTAAACTGCTCCTACTACTCGGTGTAGCTAAATGTTTGCTCGGAATTCGGTGAATTGTGAATGTGTAGACGCGCCCTTATATTTCGTCAATTCTTTACGCAATCTGTTATATCTGATACATAAAAACACATGACATTTTGTTAGATTAAATTAGAATTAAAAATAATAGTTCATCACGAAAAATAAGTAACTCATACTTTCATAAAATTCATGTCGTATATTATTACGTATACTTCGAAATTAAAATCGTCATTCTTAATTTTTCAAAAAAAAAAAAATATAATAATAATAATAAAAACATAGTAAAATTTAAGTTGAAAGATGGCGCTGCGACCGAAACGTAGACGTTAAAGTGTTAGAGATGAAGACGTCGAAGAGTAGATGATAACGAAAGGTAAAGTAATGTCCCGTCTACGATTAACTTAAATAAAAGTTTTTAATGATCTTTTTGTGATTTTTAACCAATCAAAACTCGTATCAGGATACGTAACATATATTTGTAATTGTTAATATGAGAAAAACATCTTCGAATCAGGATGTTGAGAAAGGTTACACTCATACATTCCTTACTCAAGATGATGACATTAGACATTCAAAAATACAGAAGAGAAGTTTATGGAGGGTAACTATACATTTGTTTTTATGATATTAAATATTACTGATTAACATATCTTTAAAATGTGAAGAACAACAAACGTTACTGAAAAACTTTTTTTAATGTAAAAACATGTAATTTGTTATAGATATTCATAAATATTTAATGTTTTTTGAAGTAAAAATCACATTCTAAATGAGATATATTTTTTTATGTGATACAAAATGTATGTTTGTTGATCTTTTCAAAAAAATAAAGACTTAATTTGTTTAACATTCTTGGTCAGCTTGCCAAACTGTGTATAATAAGATTAAAAGCATTGACTGTGTAAATAATTTTGTGTAATAAATTATAAATTTATTTTGTTCTTTGCTTTACAGAAGTTATATTTTATGGAAATAATAATTAAGTTAATGCTAATAATTTCAGTTAGAAGTGCGTAAGAAATGAATTTACATATAGCTGATATTTTTAAAAGGTTTGAAGAGATTTTTTTTAAATTAAATAAATTAAAGGTTATTTATGTAGAATTATTCTGAGATTAATCTAAATATTAAATATACTGTACTTAAAAACTAGAAATAAATATTGTTAATCAAATTTTCATGTTAATTTTTAAGATATGGTGTTCTGTCTAAAATGAAATAATATGTAGAATTAATATAATATAATTTTTATTTTATTGAATAACAGATTGTTTTTTTTATGATAGTTTAATTTTTATTACAATGTTTATGTTGCTTTGTTTTGGAATTGATTCATTTCCATTATTTACATTCAACTGAAAGATACCAAACATTTGGAATATTGTCAAGAGATGTATTTTGAGATCTAATTGTGTTTTAGCTTCCAACATTAAGAAAAAAGTATTCTCTTGTGAATATGTGTTATATAAATTATGTATATAAAAGAAGTGTGTATGCACATAGTATATGTACACACACACACACACACACACATATATATATATATATATATATAATATATATATATATATATATATATATTCTTTTATGTGTGTGTGCATATTTTTATTCTTTAGTTTATAATTACTATTATTTAATTGTTTGGAGAAAATTCATTTTTACAAAATAAATTTCCTAATCAAGAATGATGGGTTATATAACATTTAGTAAAGTGAAACTAAATCAAATAACTACTAAGTGTAAGTACAATATTTTATTGAAGAAAAATTTAATGTATGTCACAAAACTTTTAAAAACAATATTTCTGGTAGATGTAGCATTTTTATTATCGTATGTAATTTTTATTTCCTTAAAATTATTATTGGCTGAAATAAATGCAATTTTTAAATTATCCTAGTTAGTTTTGTTAATAGACTGTCCAAATTATGGCAACTTAATATAGAAGAAAGATGATAATGACATCTTTTTGGATGTCTACTGGGCATTTGTTGAAAGCAAAGAAAGTAATAACTTACTAACCTAGAATTTAAAATAAATATTTAAAAAAGCACTAAATCACTTGGATTGTCATGTTGTCAATGTAGACTACATGCACTGGTAGACATTTCAGACTTTATTCAGTAGTTAAACTTTAATGAACAATGAAATAAGTTTAGCAAATAAAATAAAACATGTAATAAATTCAACATCTTGCATGTAAATAATGATGCCAAAATGAAGCATATGATAATATAAATAATCAGTCACAAGACAAAAATACAAATATTTAAAATGTAGTTGAAGCTTTATATTTTTTAATGAAATATACACATTAAGTTGATTAATTTCATATAAAGATTATTGTGCAACAGAAAAGACTAATAATATAACAATACAGAGCCCAAGTCTTCACTGCTATCAATGATATCAAAGATTCAGTATCCAATATCAACAGAAGGTTTATGTTGCATATTCAAACATTGAACTGCATGTAAGTGTCTAAAAAACTAACATTCAATATATTTACAAGTGGTGACTATAAATATATGCAATATAAGTGTTCCATTGCTATTGGAACTGAGACTTTCGTATTATCAAAAGTTGCAGCTCAGACTTTTGGTTAAATGACTGATCAAAAATTCAATCAAATATTCCAATTTTTATAATTTCCTATACATCTAGAGTTCAAGAGTTTTAATATGAAACTCCTTTACCAAATTTGATCAATAGGAAATGTGTAAACAGTGATATTGTTGGCTTTTAAATATATAGTTCATTTAATCAATATATTTCATAGTTTTTTAAATTCAAAATTTCATAACAAAAAAACATAGTTTTACAAGTTCACTTTTAGCAAAAATATAACAAATAAGTTCTCCATAAAGAAAGATATAAAATAAATGTCAATAAATGAAATAAAAATATATAAATAAAATTTCATGTTACTTATATTTCAGAATTTCTATTTCTTATCTTGTACAGAGTAGAACCTTTGGATCTACTTTAAACAATCTATGATAAATATTATGGTTTAGTATCATAGACTAAAAATATTAAATAGTAGTGAAAAAGTATATCATACATAATAATAATAATATAAAATAACAATAGTTATTAATAAGATTACACTTCATCAAAGCCATACGAATCAATGTATTATTCAATAGTCCAAAATGAAGTAATTAACATCAGATAGTAGTTTAAATAATATATTATTTATATTGACATATATTGAATGAAAAAAAAGAATAATAAAAAATTAAACTATTTTTGAAAAAATAATTTAAGCTTAGAGACAAAATTATAAGCAATATATCTATGTTAAATATTTTAATCTAGAATATATACTTTTCTGTACTTTGAATGATTGCTACATAAATTGACACAATGTATTTTATTTTTGATTAAGCATTTTTTGAGACACTTATGTATCACCAGATCAAATACTTAAACAGTTTTGTTTGAAACTGTTTAAGTATTTGATCTGATGGTAAGATATGAAATGTGTTGAAAAACATTTAATAAATAAAAATAAAATACGTTAGACTCAGGTTGTGTAGAGAGTATTCAAAGTACATAAATAATGGAGTCAATGATTACAAGAAAGACATTTACACTTTTCATATGCTTTGAATCATATTTCAAATTAAACTCTGTCTTTAGATTTTAGTTTTAATGTAATAAAATATTATTTAAAAATTTACAAAGCTTTTATTTGTTTATCAAGATATGTGCTGTTTTATAATTGTTTTAATGATTATTGAAGTTTGATTAATAAATAAAAATTTAAACTTTGATTAACCTGATTTTTAGATTAAAAATTAATGCCAAGAAGTTGCCAGATTATTTGAATTATAAATATTAAACTTAGAGAATATTTAAAACAAAGATTTTGAAAAATGTTTTAATATACTGTATTTACATTCTGCTTTCAAATTTTTAATGTTTATAAAAATATGCAGCATTTTGAATATGCAGGTAACACCTGTATAATGCAGTACTTATACAATGTAGTTTTGATGAGAGTTCATATGAATTCATCTGTTTATCTTATTCTAATAAATGTTCTCTCAGTTATAAAATAGTTTGCCAGTGTAGATTATCTTTCTGTTATATGGTGAAAACTTTTCACTTTTTATGGAAATCTTATTAGAGAAACAAACTATTATGTGCTAAAAAGTACATAATTTTATACACTGGAATACATATCCTTTATATCCTTTAGTATCCTTTAATAGTTTGTGTGTAAGTTGTAAACTGCTTATAATTTTCTTTTTCTTTATCATTTGCATTCTTGAAAATAATATTTAATTAAATAATAAGTGTGAACAATAGTCATACATGCATATCAATCCTGAGTGATCAAAGTTTTATTTTACAAATTTTAATAAGTTTTTTATTCTGTCAAATAATATGTTCTGAATTAAATAAAACTTTTTTCTTACATTATAGATGTAATTTATATTTTAAAAAATTGTTTTGGAACTAATCCCAATTTTTATATATGATGTGAGTCTTTTCACATGATTTTTATAATGCGACATTTTTGTGGAGCATATCTATCATGTTATACAAAGGTTACCTGTATTAGGTTAAGAGAAAAAATATTAATTTATATGTACTGTATATTTGAAAGAATAAATGTAAATATTAAAAATTTGTTTAATAAAAATGAATACTTTTTTCCCTATATTACAATTAATTGTTTAAATTGTTAGCTCTGAGAGCTCTAAAATGATAATGTTAAGTGAAATAATAGAGAGGTTGAGGCAGACATTTTAAACGTGTAAACGTGTAGGTCGGACGTTCGGTGCCGCTTTCCTGTAAGCCTAAAAGTTTGACAATGGTGTTTGGATAGTCGGTGGAATCACGCTCGACATTCCAAACACCATCGCAAACTTCTAGGCTTACGAGAAAGCGGCGCCGAACGTCCGACCTACACATTTACACGTTTAAAAGTCTGCCTCAACCTCTCTAATTTTGTTTTTGATCAGCAAAAACATAGAAACAGAAAAATACCATAAATGTATGAATACAACTGGAAAATTTTGTATATTGTGATTTTATTTGAATCCTTTTATTTTTTTATGTTTAAAGATATTTTCAATTCTGTATAATTATTATGTATAATTAGCTTTCTTAAAAATATATATGTGTATTTTTTAGGTCTCAAATTTTTATTGAAACAAATACAAATCATCTTTTCATAGCAAAGTTTTAATTATGAATTTTACAACATTTTTCAGATAATAATAATTAGGAAATTGTTAATTCAACAGATTTAAATATATTAGTAATATTAGCAATACTCACATAAAATAATATTTAAATCATATAAAGCTTCTTGAAGTATAAAAATTTGATAACGGATAGCAGCTAAAATTTCAATGAATTAAAGTAAGTGATTTATTAAATAGTTCTATCTTTATTTAATTTTATGTATCATTGCTCGTGATTATGATAAATGAACATTATAAATGATAAATTATATTAAGAGTGACATTTTGTTTTATTAAAGCATTTTAAAAGTATTTGTAAAATTAATACAAGAAAATTCATATAAGTTTATTAGATGTATATGTATTGGGGTGGTAACAAGTTCATTTGTATTTGATGACAGAT